ATACAATAACATAGATGAAGCTTAAGAACATTGTGCTAAACAAAATAAGCCAGTCCTAGAGAGACAAATGGGTTTCCCTGATGGCTCAGATGGTAAAGAATCTGCCCGCAATGTGGAAGACCAGGGTTTGATACCTGGGTTAGGAGGGTCCCCTGGAGGAGGGCATGGCAAACCACTCCAGTATTCTTGCTTGGAGAATCCCCCTGGACAGAGGAGCCTGGCAGGCTACAGTCCATTGGGTCACAAAGAGTCAGACATGACTGAGTGATTAAGCACAGCACCGCACAGAAAGACAGCTATGGCATGATTCTATCTATATGAGTTATCTAAAGTGGTCAAATCCATAGCATCAAAGACTGGAATGGTAGCGCCAGGGGCTGGTGGGGAATGGGTGATGAAATCGCTAATTAATGAGCATAAAGTTTCCATCAAGCAAGACCAGCAAGCTCTAAAGACCTGCTGTACAACGATGTGCCCCTATTCAACATATAATTCAGCATATTCAGCATATAATGTTCACTTAAAAATTTAAGAGGGTAGGTCTCAGTCTAAGTGATTTTCCTACAATGTAATTAAATTTAAATTAACTTTTTAAAGAAAATTTCTTTAAAAATAGAGAAAGAAAATAATAACTTCACAAATCACTTCTATTGTGCCCTGCAGGAGGGCAAATGGGTGCATTGTTCCTCCCTAAATGACTGAAACTTAGAGACAAATATTCTCCCTCTTCCTAAAAATCATCCCATCACCACCATCCTCTTTCCCATGATGCTCCTTGAACATGTGAAAGTGAAAGTGGCTCAGTCGTGTCCGACTCTTTGTGACCCATGGACTATACAGTCCATGGAATTCTCCAGGCCAGATACTAGAGTGGGTAGCCTTTCCCTTCTCCAAGGGCTCTTCCCAACCCAGGGATCGAACCCAGGTCTTGTGCATTGCAGACAGATTCTTTTCCAGCTGAGCCATGAAGGAAGCCCAAGAATACTGAAGGGCTTCTCCAGGAGATCTTCCCGACCCAGGAATCGAACCAGGGTCTCCTGCATTGCAACCGGATTCTTTACCAACTGAGCTATCAGGGAAGCCCCAAGAAAATGGAAAAGTGAGTCTCTCAGCAGGAGGCTGCCATAGCGATGCAAAGAGAAAATCCAGGACTGGAAACAGTTAGAAAGCAAAGTGGCAAATGCCTGAAATGATCTTTAAAATACTCTAGTGGCTCAAACGCAAGGATTTCTCGCACAGATCTATCCTCTGTCATCATCGCACCTATAAAAGGGAGTAAATTATATTACTGGGATTTAAAGTTATCAAGTAAATTAAAGTCAACTGCTGGGTTGCTGAATTTTATATTAGACTACTGAGTTTTATAACAATGTTGAAAGAACAGGAAAGATTCTAAAGAGAACAACTAAAACAGAAATGCAAGTCAGTGACACTGCCTAGAGAATTCCTGGAGCCTCCAGAACGTTCAGATTCAAAAAGCAGGGGATAATAAAAGGGCTGATCAGTCACAGGCCAGAAGCCTTCGGATCTGAATGAAGTAGAAGAGTCATTCCCAGTATTCCTAAGTATCCCCTGAGAAGCTCTCAAAAGATGCAGGTTTAATAACATCTCAGTTATCTCTGCCAGGCCCACACTCTGACCAACACCAACAGCATTTCCTACAAAGTCTAGTGCAGGTTCTTTACTTGAAGGGATTGAACGCCCTCTCCCCTTCAGCAAGAGATTAAAAGGGAAGAAAGAGAGCTTTAATCCTGAAGTTGGGTAGACTTTCAGGATAATTAATAGAGATCGGTTACTTGCTGGAAAATGAAGGATTGGGTAAAAAATAAATTATGTTTAGATGACTGAATATTTCCCTGAGATGGAATAAATTCAAGGACTGAGTAAAAGGTAACAAGAAAACTATCCATCACTTGAAGTTAGCAGGTAAGATAATATTTCAACCACTCATCTTGAAAGGGAACCTTGGACCAAGAACAGAGCAGGACGACTATAGGAATAGATACCAGGAAGGGTTAAATACAATCACACCTGAAAAAAATAGCTACAACTACTCCACAGAAATCTGAGAAGAGGTGGTGGGGTCCAAGGTGGCCTAATATTTTCATAAATAACTCGAAATATGCAGTGGGGATTATGCAAATCAAACCACACACAATACAAAAGTGGCAGGGATTTCGAATCTGTGAAGAATGAAATTTAACTACTGGGCACTGTCTTTAAATTTACCTTTATTGAATCTTGTATATTGAAGTCACATATTATTGTATCTCTTTATGGAAACTCAATAGGGCTGAATGCAGAGTGATTTATGGAAGAAGGAATAATCAAATGCATAAGTAGAAAAGAGCACACACCTGGAGAGGCACTAGCCTGGGGGTCAGGACAGGCACCGAGTGGGAAGTGGTTGAGATGGTACAGAGTGCAATAGGGTGGCCAATTACTTCTGCTCTCTACAGATGCGGGCGGTGCTAAGAGCCGATGTGTAAAATAAACAAGGAAATGTGTCTGTTACTCTTTGAACCACTTGGCCTTGGTACTACTTTCAATGAGAGTGCTGAGTTTAAATTAAACCTGGAAGGGGATTCAGAGCAGGCCAGCACAGAAATTATGCGATGTGTTCCTAGGTAAACCAAGAATACCAGGAGATGTTAAGAGGGCCTCCAGCACAGATGAAATGCTGAATGTGCCTATTGGTTGGGAAAAGATGCACAAAGCTAAGCGGGCCTGTAGGAAAGAAAAATTTCAGCTCCTATTAAGGGAAAAAAACAATCATTCAAAGCACAGTTGGAATCATGGAAGAAAGGGCAGCTTATGGTAACACCATCCCTGGGGACATTCGAGGAGTTGACCAGACACCTCTCTACTTAGGATGCATTAGAGATTATTAAAAGCATTCCCTGCTCAGATCGGGGGTGGGAGGTGGGCCTTGCGACCTCTCCAAAGGTCATTCCTATCCCAAAGGATCACATGTCTGAAGGGCACCAGATAAAAATAAAGTCTATTAATCACTGAGCTGCCGCACAGTTTCCTAAGAGAGCCAGACTAGAGAAGGGCATTCCACGGTGGACCTTGTTCCAACGAGGGAGGAAAAGAGAGGCCTGTGTAGGCAGAACCAACTGCAGAGACTTCCAGAAAGCCTGCAATCAGGCGTCCCAAGTGTCACAGGGAACACAGGAGGAGGAAGAGACCCCATGGGGAAGGGAAGGGGAAACAGCAAATGGCTCTGAGAGCCCCTTAACAAAGCCACGGGAGCTGGGGGAGAGGGTGTGAGCCAGGCCAGGTGGGGACACCCGCAAAGGGCACGTCCTGGATTTAACGCTAAGGAGGCAGACCTCGGAGACAAAGGAGTGAAGGCAGGAACCCAGGGGAGGATGGATAGGGGTGCACGGGTGTGTCTGGGATTATTATGGGCTGGGAACCTGATGAGAGCTGGAAAGACAGAGCAAAAGGTAATCCCACTGTCTGGGGTGGAGGGGCAGAAAATCACCTAAGAAAATGCAGGCTTTTAAAAGAGGAATGGAGCCGCAATGCCCCAGTCCCTAAGCAGCTCTTGGCATTCTTGATAGCTGGGCTGCTCCGGCCAGACACAGTGGGAAAGTCTGCTGCCGGGGCATCTGAAGCACCCTTCCCAACCCTGAACCAGTCTCCCGAGGGGTTAGCAAGCTTGGGCTTTTATGTGTCAGAACAAAACTGAACGCTTTCCAGGAAGCAAAATCCAGGAGGAAGCAGGCACCTCCCAGCACTGCCAAGAGACATCAGACCCCATGCCTTGCTCCCTACTCATCCTGAACCCACACCTGGGGATGGAGATGATGTTACCTGCAGGACTCGTCTCAGGACTGTCATCTGCATGGTGTACCAAACAGTCAAATGGGGGTCATGGAGTTTGAGTTCTTCTAGCAAAATGTTCTCCAACCAGCTGTCACCCCACCAGGCACAGAACACCTTGTGGAAATCAAAAGAGGCCAGCGAAGAGGGAGGAAACACGCAGCACTCCCAATGCACTGCCTGTGCCCTCGCCCCGTCTCCCTTGGGGGTGTCCTGCTTTCATAGCGACCGCAGACACCGGCAGGGCAGGTGGGGCGCCCGAGGGACCACCGTGCCCAGCCCAGCCTCACTGGTCCCACCACAGCCTGTGGCAGAGCACTGCGTCCTCAGAGAGAAGGCAGGAAGGGAAGATGGTCAGGGAGTGCGGTTTCGAGGGCCGCCCCTGCCATGGAGCGAGCAGATGGTGCCCAATCTGGTGAGGAGATAACTAGGGCAAGGATCTAAACCCACCGCCCAGTGCTCTGGTGGGTGAGAAAGACAAAGCTCTCTCAGGCTGACGGCAGTCCCTCCGAAAGCTGCAGGTCTCCCAGGTCCACCTGCTGCCACTGTTACCGCAGCTCGCCCCCCCGCAGTCCCTCCCCAGCTCTGTCTGCAGACCCTAAACCCCAGAGCCGGGGAGTCACTTGTCCAAAGATGCTCCTGAAGCCAGTGAGAAAGGCTGGAGATGGATCGCGGGACATTTATTAAACTAAGTCATCGTCAGAGAAAGATTCATAACCTGCCTTACCTAGGACAGGAGAGAGAGAAAGAAAGGAGAGAGAGGAAATTAAAGAGAAACAAATGAAAAGCCGCCAGAGCCAAGCACCTCTGTTAGAGGATTTTGAGTTATGTTTTTGTTTGCAATTCTCTGAAACAGAAAAAGAAATAGAGGATGAACCTTACAGAGACAGAGAGAGTGAAAGAGAGGGAGCCAGAAGAAAGCCACGAAGGAGGCCACTGCAGGGAAAGGAATACAGAGCAAAGAGGCCTCCCAGGCTGGCTTCTCCCTCCTGCTGCAACACCAGGCCTGGGGGAGCTGCCAAAGGAGGTCAGGTGTGACTGCAGTGAGGTGGCAGCCAGCAGGCAAACTGAGGTCTGGGCCCAAGAGGAGGAGCCAGCAAGCCCGGGGCTGGAGCAGCTCAGGGAAGGGTGGGGGCCCGCGGCAGGAAGGTGGCATCTGCTGTACTTACTGTCACAGACGTAAGGTTTGTCATGGTCTTCCTGTGAGGCGGCGTCGTGCCTCCTCCTGCCACCTGCGGAGCCACGGGCCTGGGGAGACATGGGAATATTGGGGTGCTTGTTATGCTGACAATCACTATGGTTCCCCAGCGTGTGTTCTGTAAGGCCCTGAGTGCTTCACCTGGATCTCCTTATTCAACCTTATACTTCACTAGTACCTATACCAACCCCACTTTATGGGTCAGGAAACTGAGGCCTAGAGAGGCTAAGTAACTTGCCCAGATGACTCAGCAACTCACTTGCATCACTTCATTAAATCCTTACAACTCCAAAAAGCAGGTGCTACTATTATCTCCATTTTACAGATGAGAAGCTGAGGCAACAGAGGGGTGAAGAACCCAACCCAAGGTCACTTGGTCACTAAGAGCTGAGCCAGGACGTAAACTCAAGACACACTCCAGAGCCTTGGGCAGTCAGAATTCCCACCCTCTACTGTTGCCCCCAGGACCTCTTCCTCCAACTCCTTAGCCCCAGGTTTGCTGGCACCACATGTGGATGCCAAACCCGCTCCTCTCAGCAGCCAAGATGGTAGGAAAATGAGAGCAAGTAGCGTGAGCATGCAGCCATCACCCCAGACTCCTGTGTTCACATCCCCCTCCAGCTAAAGTGTCTCGAAAGTGAGCCAGGTCCAGAATTGGGGCAGGAGGCCAGGCCCGTGGGGCGCTCCCTCCCCACTTGCTCAGCCTACTCCACAGGGTGGGCGTCTGCTGAGGCCTCCCTGTGTGGTCTGCCTCCAGCCTCCAGCCAGTGGCCAAGACCTTGACACCTCAAAGTCTCCTGGGGCTGAACTCTTGACACCCCCGCAGTGTGTGCATCTCCCAGAAAGGGCCAGCATCATCGGGGCGGGGGTGGTGTGGGGGAGTGGAGGGGTGGGCTCCACCTCCAAGGATTGACAAGAGCAGCCAGAGAGGGAGCTGGCAGCTCGGCAGCCCTGGGACAGTGGCTACGAGAACATGGCAGGGTTTATTTTTAGACCTTTGTGAGTCCTACGGCGGCCACGTGGGTAGCACCCTTGCCTCCTCCGGGTCATACTCTGGTAATGAGTAGCACTAAACTCCCAAGCAGGTTAAGGGCCCGCTGGGGTCTTTGGGGACAGAGGCAGGAAGGTACAGTGGATGAGGAATAAAACACGGCAGCACCTGGCATGCAGGACAACCGGGACCTGGCCTGGAAAAGTGGTCCCGGGGGGTGGGGGGGGCACTTCAGAGTCAAAAGGCCTGAGGTGCTCTCACACACACACACACACACACACACGCACACACACACGCACACACACACTTTCCCTGGGGACATCATAGCGGAAAGGCCTGTACCCCAGTCGCATGATGTACACCCTGCCCCCAAACACACACACAGTTCACAATCAACAACCACCTGCCAAGCTACGGCGGCCACCACCTCCTCGGTTGTCTCTCTCCAAAACAAATTACAGAATCCCCCCTCCCTCCTCTCCTCCCCTCCAGGGCGCTTTCCTGCCTGGCCTCCCCGCGCCCCCACCATCCCTGCCCACCCCAGGAGCCAGCAGCCCCCTCCCCTCGCCCTCATTACGCAGAGTTGACCCCAAGAGAGAGCTGTGCGGCCCTGGCAGCCACCCCCTCCACCCCGAGGCACTGACAGCCCTCCCTCCCTGCCCACGTTGAGGGTGGTCACCCTCAGCTGCCCGCCCCCCCAACCCCCCCATGATGTCCCCTCGGAGAAACCGGGGACAGCTTGACGTGTGCGGCCCGCAGCCCTGTCACAGCCGCCTCGGAGCAGGTGAAAGCAAGTCAAGCAGAATGACAGAGGCAAAGGCAGACCCAGGGAGGGGCTCGGGAGACTAAAAATACTTCCCGCCCGCCAGGGAGGAGAGGAGGAGGGCCAGGACTGGGAGCAGCCCGAGAAGGAGGGGGGCCCTGTCGAGAGCCAGGGCTTGATAACACCCCCACTCTCTCCCTGCACCTCAGTTTCCTCAACTGCAAACAGGGATTGTGGCCCCAGGGCATCAAGGACACAGCCACGGATGCCTCCAGTGACTGGTATGTATGTATGTGCAAGCCGCTTAGTTGTGTCTGACTCTTTGCCACCCCATGGACTATAGAGTCCATGGAATTCTCCAGGCCAGAATACTGGAGTGGGTAGCCTTTCCTTTCTCCAGGGGATCTTCCCAACCCAGGGATCAAACCCAGCTCTCCCACATTGCAGGTGGATTCTTTACCAGCTGAGCCACAAGGGAAGCCCAAGAATACTGGTTTGGGTAGTCTATCCCTTCTCCAGCAGATCTTCCCAACCCAGGAATTGAACCAGGGTCTCCTGCATTGCAGGCAGATTCTCTACCAACTGAGCTATCAGGGAAGCACTCTTCCAATCTCCTGCAACATATCAAACCTGGAAACTTGAAATCCTACTTGTCTTGCTCACATGTCACCTCCTCAGAGAAGCCCTCCTGACCAATGTATGTTCACTCATGCCTTCCACCCCACTTCATGTCACAGCACTTAGCATTATCTTGCTTCATACTGGGCTTCCCTGGTAGCTCAGATGGTAAAGAATCCACCTGCACTGCAGGAGATCCAGGTTCGATTCCTGCATCAGAAAAATTTGCTGGAGAGGGAGAGGCTACCCACCCCAGTGTTCTTGGGCTTTCCTGGTGGCTCAGCTGGTCATGAATCCACCTGCAGTGTGGGAGACCTGGGTTCATTCCCTGAGTTGGGAAGATCCCCTAGAGAAGGGAACAGCTACCCACTCCAGTATTCTGGCCTGGAGAATTCCATGGACTATATAGTCCATGGGGTCACAAAGAGTCAGACAAGACTAGGTGACTTTCACTTTCCCTTTCACCGGTATTCTTGCCTGAAGAATCCCGTGGACAGAGGAGCCTGGCAGGTTACAGTCCAGGGGGTCACAAAGAGTCAGACATGACTGAGCAACTAAGCACGTACACATAATGTTATACTATATATTTGTTGGTGTACTTGCTGGTTTTCTGTTTCCCCCACATAAGGGTGGAAAATGCATCTATTTGGGCCACCATTGTACTTGGAACTTGGCACAGGGCCAGCCACCTAAACAGCACTTAATAAATATTTGCTGAATAAATGAATCAATCCACCAGCCAGTCAGTAAGTTAATTGTCTTTGGTTCTTCTCCTTCATTCTCTGTATCCAACTGGTATTGTGTCTTCCTTCAAAGGACATCTTAGGCTTTGCATTTCCCTTTTACTCCATATCTTAAGCATCAATTAACCCTTGAGCTGCTCAAAGAACTCATCAGCTAGGGTTCTACCTCTGCATTGCCCTACCCAATGCATCCTGCATGATACTCAGACTCATGAGACAAAAGAAGTGTAGGACAGGAGCCCATGGTCATCCATTCAATCACACACTCAGTCACGGCCATCCGAAGCCTACTGATTTAGCCAACGATATCCTAATAACAACTCTACCACAGTCACCTCATGCTCATGCTAAATCCAAGTCTTTGTTTTGATTGATCCCTGTCATGGATCAGCCTCTGCTCTGCCCAGCCATATCTGGTGCATGCTTTAGCCTTGTTAACATGCCACTCCTCCAAGAATCTTCCTTTTGTCACACTAAGGAGTAAAGCATCAGTTTTAAAGTCAGACGGACATATCTTTAAACACTAGCATGGGTTTTTGGACAAGTTACTTGTCTGTCAGTTTTCTCAGTTGTAAAATGGGCAGAGCAACGTCTTCATTGCAGGTTTGTTGTAGAGCTAATAAGGGGGTGTGAAACCACAGGGGACAATGCTAGGTCTACAGGAAGTACTCAATAAATTATTTCCCGTCCTTGCCCAGTTGATTTCTCTTTCCTCTGAACTCTTATTGCATTTGGTAAGTGCACAGTCAGAAGCCTGCTGCTTTCTAATTGTATCATGACTATTAGCATTTTCTCCTCAATTTAATTCCAAGGTCCCGGAGAGCAAAGATGACACTCCATATTTTATTATAACCCCTGACACTTAGTACTATGCAGGGCACACAGCAACCAAAGTTCTTTCTTATATATTACCTCAGTTAATTCCTACAATACCATCTGAGTTTAACCAACTAATATCATTCCCATTTGGTACTTGAAGAAACAGGTACTTTTCTGAAACAGTTCAGAAAAGGCTCACGACTTGCCCATAGTCACAGAGCCAGTGGAAGACAGAGGCCCAGATTTCCAGAATCTGTTACAGAAGACTTTGAGACTGATGTCCAAAGAAACCACTCTCCCGCTCTGAGAACTGCCCATCTCACTCCACTCCTCTCCACTCCACCTCCCATTCACACACTGGTGAGCCATGGCAGCCATGATTGCATCACATGGCCCTGCCCCACTGGCCACTGCTGATTGGCTGACTCAGAAGTAGACACATGACCCAAACTGGGCCAATCAGATTCTACCTCCAACAGACTTCAAATTGGAAAATAATGACTCTAGTTAGTACAGATCACTTCAACTAGGGACCCATAAATTCAGGAAATATGGGGCCACATGCACAGCGAAGCAGAAGAGGCAATCTTGTGAGAGAAGGATAAAGGAGGAAGGAGTAAAGACCAGAAACCGCCTGGGTTCCTTACTTTTTCCCTGTCCTAAATCCCTGCCACTATCTGGTCCTATCTGAACCTTCAAAAATTGCTCAAATCTGGTGCAATAGCTCAGCAGCTTTTCAAATACTTCCCATTTTTGCTTAACCTGTTGAGTTTTCTACAACTAAAAGATTCTCAACTAGGACAGACTCAGTCCCAGGCAGAAAGTTAGTTGCTTTGTACCAGTTGTTCTCAAATAGCAGTCCAGGGATCCCTGGGAGTCGCTGAGACCCCTTCAGGGAGTCTCTGATGTCAAAACTATTTTTGTAATAGTCCTCAAGTGTTATTTGAAAGTTTTCACTCTCATCCTCCCACAGGTGCACAGTGGAGTTTTCCAGGGGCTACACAACACAATGATGTCATCAGTTTATGTGCTGGTATACTCTTAACATTTTTCTGTTTCTAATATGGGAAGTATCACTGGTTATAAGCCATCAGAACAACAGCTTTGGGGGCTCTCAGTAATTTTTGAGTACAGAATCCCTTAGACCAAATAAATATTGAGAACTACTGTTCTACACTCTTGGTATTTAAAGTGCAGTGCTCAGACCAGCAGCACTGACATCATCTGGGATACTGCTAATCAAGCAAAATCTCAGTCACCACCCACCAGACCTACTGCATCAGAATTTACGCTTGAACAATATCACCAGGTGCTTTATATGCACATTAAAGTTTGAGAAGCACTGGACTACACCATACTGCATCATAAACACTTACTGATTGATCAACTGATTGATAACACTCACGTGGATGACTCACAGGAATTTCATGAATTTTAAAGAGCTTTGATTGTTGGGCTAAAGTTACCATAGACTTACAGTAGGGCTTATTATTGCATTAACGCTACCAAAGACCAGAGCCAGTTATTAATTGTCGGGCCTAAATTTCTCTCACCTCTCAGGGAATCTCCATTGCCAAAGTCAGAGAGCTATTCCCTTTGCTTGCACTCTCCTAATAATATTTCACCTTTATTAAGCACTCAAAATTGGTTGTGAATTACTAACTCAATTTTATTTATTTATTTTTTTTACTAACTCAATTTTAATGATGAAGAAACTGAGACCCACAGTACTTAACATTATTTGGTCAAGGTCACAGGGGTTACATAATTGACCAAAACTCTAGTAAGTAGTAGAGCTGGGATTTGAACTCAGGGTTCAGACAACGTAGAGACTGTTCTTGACATCACTACCTTAGCCCTGACTTCTATGAACACACAGAGCACCTGGTGGTCTTATTAGAGTGCAGACTCCAATTCAGTCCAACTGGGGTGGAGTCTGGCATCTGCATTTCTAACAAGCTCCCAGGTGACATTGATGCTGAAGCCCAGGGAGACCACACGCTGAGACAGCCTTAGACTGCATCTCAGTCCTGACAACAGAAACGAGAGTGACTATCCTCCAGGCACCAGCAGCAGCTTGAATATACGTTAAAGGGTAGCTTCTTTGAGGTTGTGCATGAAGTAGTCTCCACTCCTTATTCCAGCACAGGCAGGCTCACCTGTAACTTTTAGGTCCTTCCATGGTTCCCACCACGGGTGATATGTCCACCATGTTACTGCACAATGTAGAGCCATTTGACCGCCCCTCAGCCAACAAGGATGGGCCCAGAACTAGCCTAGGCCCCATCTAGCTCTCTTGCTGTGTTCAGGCCTTTTCTCAGCTCCCAGAAAGCTCAAATAAGACTTTTTGTTCTTTTCCTATCATTAAACCATTCATTCAACAAACTGGCCAATGGCCGCATGCTGGGCACTGAGCCATGTGTGACCCAGTGGGAAAGTACAGACCTGTGTTCAATTACTCACTTCTTCCTTACTGGGTTGGACAACCTTGAACAAATTCTTAACCTCTCCAGAAGTAAATTCACTTTCATGCATTGGAGAAGGAAATGGCAACCCACTCGAGAGTTCTTGCCTGGGGAATCTCAGGGACAGTGGAGCCTGGTGGGCTGCCGTCTGCGGGGTCACACAGAGTCGGACACGACTGAAGTGACTTAGCAGCAGCAGCAGTAGTTCCATTAAAAAGTAAAAAGAAATGGGTGAAATTAATTTTAATAATATATTTTATTTAACCAAATGTATCCAAAATATCTTTATTTCAGTGTGTAATCAATATAAAATCATGAGTGAAATATGTTATGTTTTAATTGATGTATGATGTCTTAGAAATCTGGTGTTTTACACATAATGGTGTATGTCAACTTGGACAAGCCGCATTCCAAGTGCTCAGCATCCACTTGTAGTTAGTGGCTGTGGAACTGGAAGCATGACTTTCAACTGTTATTGTATCTATAGTTAAGGAGAGGATTTCAGAGGGGAGAGAGAAATGGGGCAGGTAAGAGGAGAAAAAAGCCCTTGCTGAATATGGAGCATCACTGGAACCAGATTTCCATTCTGTTCAACATTTCAACTTTAAACCAAAAGCAACAACTTCCTTTATCTGACACCCCAGTAGGACATTGTGATCAAAACAAGAAACTTGTCTTATAGACTCAATGTTTGCCCTACAAATTTGGGGCTTCCCAGGTGGAGCTAGTGGTAAAGAACCTGCCTGCAAGTGCAGGAGAGGTTAGAGACCTCCAGATGTGAAGCAATAAGAAACACACATCACACCTAGGAAAAAGTCTAGCCACACCAAAAAGGTATTTACATACACACACACGAATATCCACAATCTAATTGTCTCTCACCAAAACACTAGTTTTCAGGAAATAAAGAGGATCCAGGGACACATTAGACACCACCAGTCTGCCAACTCTAGAATATGAAAAATTCTACAAGACCAACCACCCAAGTTCTTCAACAAATAAATGGCATGGAGGGGAAAAAAGGTGTATATGTGACAGGGAATAGTAGCAAGGAAGAAGTATGTTATAGAATGCAAAAGACAAGTTTCAAACTGCCAAAGCCATTTTTTAGAAAATCAGGGGGAAATGATCAAGGACTGGATACCAGAATGGTGGTGGTTTAGTCACTAAGTCGTGTCCAACTCTTGTGATCCCCATGGTCTGTAGCCTAGCAGGCTCCTCTGTCCATGGAATTCTCCAGGCAAGAATACTGGAGTGGGTAGCCATTCTCTTCTCCAGGTGATTTTCCTGACCCAGGGGTCAGACTCAGGTCTCTTTCATTGCAGGAAGATTCTTTACTGACTGAGCAACCAGGGAAGGTGGAGGATATTAGAACAGCTATTTTTATTAGGTGTGATAATGATGCCTGTTAGAGATATACATTAAGATATGGCACAGGTTAAATGGGAAAAAAAAGTCTAGGACTTGCATTGAAATATTCCATATACAAAAAAAAAAAAAAACTACACAAAAAAACAAACATACAAACCAACTGAAAATGGGAGTAAAGAAAAGATTAAACAAGAATGTCAAAGCATTGATCATAGAGGAAGCTGAGTTGTAACTCTATATGGCGTGTGGCATCAGCGGGCAGCCCTGTCCAGACTGAGAAATTCCAGCTCCTATCCAGGTCAGAGCACCATAGCTCAGAGTGGGCAATGCTGGGCCACCTGCACCAGTCACCAAGGAACCTGCTTACAATACAGCCTTCCAGGCCTGACCCCAGACCTCCTAAATCACAACTTCCTGGAGTGGATCCTGCAAATTTGCATTTCGATAGGCTCTTGTGGCGATTCTGATGTGTGCTCAGACTCAAGAGCCACGGGAATAGACAGCCTTGCCATGATCACCACTTGACCCAAGCCAAGAGGGCATCCAGGACTAGCCTCTCATCTGGGGAAGGGGTAAGCATCTATCCAGAGCCTGAAGGAGCCAGACCAGCCTCACAGCGCTAATTCTCCAGACAGAAAGCTTCAGCTCATCCCTGCCACACCCGCTCCACCGGGTTATTTTCAGATACTCCTGCAGACCCTTGAAGGTGACTACAGACAACCCCTTTGGCCTTGAGCATGAGGACTCTGGAGGACCACCTCTAACGCCTGATAGCGCCACTCAGGTTTGGCTCCCTCCCCTCCAGGGTCACCCTCATATTTTTATTCCTTCCACCATGGATTTCCCATCTGCCATTCCCCAGGCCTCTGGCCTTTTCTTGCCGCATTCCAGGCCCACACCTGCCTGGGAACCATCAGCTATGGCCCTGCCATGCTTTCCCAGTATGCTTCTGCTCTCTGCCTGGTGAAAGGTACGCCAAAGCAGTACCTGTGAGGCTGGGGCAGCCCTAGGGACAGGACACTTTCAGCCTTCTTCTATGACTGAGGAACGGGGCCGGCAGTCACATCCACCTCATCCTCTACCCTCGCCCAGACCTCACCCTCACCCTCCCCATCCCCTTGCTGCGCCCTCTGCCACTTTTCTCCCTCTAGCCAGCTCTAAACTCTGGCAGGGATCAGAGCTGGGATCAGACCACCTGGGATCAGAGCTCTTCTGGCAGTTTCCTCTCTGGGTGTTCTGCGAGGAAGACCATGGATACACTCTCTATCCAGCTGCAGCAGGATTCTGAATCTGGGGTCCAGTTGTCTGGCAGGTCCCCCACCTCCCTGATCTCTTCCCTCCCTCCTGGCATCCCCAGCTTACCCGTCCTCTGGTCCGATTCTTCCGCTTGGGAATATCCTCTTCTAAATCCTCTTCTTCATTTCCTTCTTCTACATTTTCATCATTTTCTAAAACCCTCTGAAATGAGAAGAAAATAGAAGCATTGAGAAATAAAGCACAAAGGAGAAAATCCTCAGAGGGTAATGTGTTTTGTTGTTGTTATTTTTTTTTTATTGTTGTTGTTATTTTTTAACACAGTGAATATGCTGCCATGGATCAGCCTCCAAAATGCTGGCCAGGAGTTGGGGCTCCTGGCGATACCGACCCTCTCTCCCAAGACCCTTCCAGCCAAGTCCTCTCAGAACACCAACCTTTTCAACACTTTTTGCCCACAAAGTGTTTTCTAAAAAGAGAATAGTAAGGGTACTCTTCTATGTAGGCCCAAGATGTCTGGTCAAAACTTCAGTTCAGTCACTCAGTCGTGTCCAACTCTCCAAGACCCCATGGACTGCAGCACTCCAGGCTTCCCTGTCCATCACCAACCCCTGGAGCTTGCTCAAATTCATGTCCATCGAGTTGGTGATGCCATCCAACCATCTTATCCTCTGTCTTCCCCTTCTTCTGCCTTCAATCTTTCCCAGCATCAGGGTTTTTTCCAAAGCTTACTTTAATGTAATTTTCCCTTTGTTCCTCAAGGGCCACCTCAAAGACGTGAAAATACATCTCTCCTTTCCCTGGCATTCTGGAATTCTGCACAGTTTGATGAAAACAAGTAACTTCCTATCCATCTGACCAGAATTTGACATGAATGTGTTATTCCTCATCTCCCATTGTTATGTTCTTTTAAGAGAAATGGATTGTCCTTACAGCACTTATAGTAGAGCTTCTATTTAATCCTCTCTCTCCAATAGCCCTGCAAGTCATACTGTAGCAGAGAAGCCAGCTTCCACTGTACAGGTAAACAGACTGAGGCTGAAAACAGTTTCGACTGCTCAAGATTATACAACAGAATCCACAACTAAAGCAAGGTCAGGTTCATCAGCTCAGTGTTTCCATTTCTCTCCTAGCTCTTGTGTCTGAGAATTCCAGGGCATATTATGATACTTCTTAGAGGACCTGAGCACCTCGCTCACTTGGTGGGAGGCAAGAAAATGGAAACCTGTATCTCCAGGTTTAAGGGAGGGATAAGACACTAGGCAGAGGACCAGCCTCCCCTCCCCCAGGGTAGAAGTGGGATAAGGGGAAGGGGAGCCCATGGATTCCATGTCAGGGGTCCTAGCAGCTTCTTTAAGCTCTTGTGTGACCCTGGGAGAGTCATCATTGCTTCATGCCTCAGGTTCCCCAGTTACAAAATAGGAACTCATTCATTCAGACAATCAACAAACATTTATCTAGGGCTGACTACTTGGTAGGTGCTGTCCTAGATCAGCCACAGTGTGGCTACAGACCTGGCCCCAGTGGACTCTCCAGCCTAATGCAGGGAAAACAGATTCAAACAGCATACATAACCACATAATTACAACTGCTATGGAAACAGAGACAGACAAATTCAAGGCGCTGTGAGAGGCTGTTAGAAAGAAACTTTACCTTATCTGAGGTCAGGCAGGGCTCACCTGAGGAAGTGAACAAAGGGTGTTGAGACGTAAAGGATGAATAGGGACTAACCTTGGGACCAGGGACTGAGGGGAGAAGAGGAGAGAAAGAATTCCAGGGAACGGCACGAGCAGACACCCAAAAGCAGGGAGGTGAACATAGCTTGTCCAGGGAGCACGAGGAGGCCAGTGTGACCAGCACTCAGTGGCTCAGGGAGAGATTGGCATAAGATGATGCTGGAAAGGTGGGCGGGCACCAAGCCATACAGGACATTGGCATCCACCCATCCTATGGTGATGGTGTGACAATCGCACAAGCTATGAAAAGGCTTAGAAGGCAGCATGCATGGTACTGATTTCTAGTATCACCATCACTGTTCAAGGGGCCTCCTGGGCCATGCCCTTGGCTTGCCGTCAAAGCAGGAAGCCCAGGGTGAGTTTCCAGTGACCTTCTCCCACTGCCTTCTTGTCAGAGAGTTCCATTCCCATCACTGTGGTCAGGATATTGCTAATTAACCAAACTCTCCCAAAGAACTCAAAACAGGTATCGTAAATCTTTCTCCGGCTTCTCTACCAGGTTTACATGGGAAGGCATCAGCTGAGCACTGAGGCTCTCTGGGCCAGCCACAGACACCTAACAGAGACGCAGCAGCAGCAGCTGGACACGACCTCTGGCCCGCAGCTAGGGAAGGCTGGTCGTGGCCCAGCGCAAGCAGCCCAGACTCTCTGCACCTTGGCTTCCTGAACCATCAGGGGGAACACGGGTGGGACAGTGACAAGCCAGGTCCTCCGCAGGCTTCAGTGAAAAGATGTGGCATAAATGCAAGGTGTGCTGTTGCTGTTTGTAGAGGCACCTTGCAAACTTCCTGGGTGTTGAAGTCATTTAATCATGGTAAGTTCCGAGTGTCTTGACTTTAAAGGTCATTGCCTCTGGCATCTCAGTGCAAATCTGACTCCATTCGAATTTGTTTCATTATGAAGGAGTCTATTACCCACCATATAGACTCTGGGTTAGAAGGCAAAAGCTGGGGAAGGCCATTGCACTTGTCCCCAGACACACTGCACAGTCTCAATGTCTGGGAGGAAACTGACTTTTCCCTCCCTCTTCCCATCTGCCTCCCTGAATCTCTAGACCCTCTGGTCTGAGCTTCGGGCCTCACATGTGACAGCGGCGTTTCCCGTGTTTCTGCATTTCCTACAACGTGGCCCTGACACCAGATGCCTCCCTACACAGCACAGGAGGAGCCAGGAGCTCCTCACAAACAGAACTCGTATTCGGAGCTCAGGAAGCAGAGGGGGCATCCTGTACCAGGAGAGCAGGGCAGTTGTGTCCAGCTAGTTGTGTCAGCTCACCCCCCCGTGACATGCCTACATTCCCTGGCCAAGGGTATTACCTGGAAAACAAACACGTTTTCAAATAACTTTTCTCCCTGAGACTCTTAAACAGTCTTAACGGTGATGATAATGATTGTAATTGTGCTTTTTGACTTTTTTTAAAAAGGAGGAATTTGTTGTTGTTGTTGTTTTGCATTTCAGAGGAATTCTTCTTTAAAGACTCTGGTATCACTAGTTGGAACAGTGCAAAATTCTCCTAGCTGATTTCCCTTCTTCCACTGCAGGCCTGCATCCAGTCTCCTTTCCACACAGCAGCCAGACAGGTCTTTAGGAAACACAAATTCACTGCCCTGGTGAAAACCACTTGAATGGCTTGCCTTTTCATGTCCCATGAAATCATGAGTCTCCTCCAGGTCTGGCCTTGCCCACCTCTCCAGCCCTATCCTGGGCCCTTCCCTCCCTGAAACCCTGCTCCAGCCACACCAGCCTCTGTTCTTTCAGTGCAACGAGCTCAGATCTATCATCAGAACTTCAAGAGCACCATTCCTCCACCCAGAAAGCCCTTCCCCAGGTCCCTCGCTTTGCTGACAGCTTCTCCTCTCACAGGACTGGGGGATAGCCCTTGTCTCCCTTAGGACACCACCTAGAATCTGTCCCTCCTCTTAGACTGAGTCTCTGCACTCTGTTCTTTTCATGGCACTTATCCTGAAAGGCACCTATTTGACTTGTTTACTTGCTTTCCATCTATACATCACACTAGAATATAAGCATGAGAGGTGAGGACAGATCTCTCCTTGGTTTCCCTGTCTCCCCAGAACCCAGCACAAGGCCTGCTCAGAGGAGGCCCTCAATAAATTTTGGTGGAATGAATGAATGAAAGGAAAATGAACAAAACAGTCCATTTGCTACATGCATACTTTATTTTAATAAACAAAGTCAATAAAAACATGTACACTCATCTGGCTTTTGGTCCTGGTTTTGGCTTCTCGCACAGCGGATGGCAGCCCCGTGCTCTGCACACAGTAGACTTTCCGTTTACAACAGGGATGAGGGCGATGATGATGATTCAACAATGACAACCTGCACACTGGCCTGATGCTGCCCGAGAAGGACTCACACTCATCTCCAGCTCAAAAAGGAAAGGGTTGCCTATCACTGGAGCATCAAGACTTCTGGATAATGGTTCTGTCACCCTCACTGACTTGGTCAAATTACACTAACTGCGCAAAAATACTCTTAACCGGCATTACAGATGGGACAGACGGTGACTTCAAAGACCTAAAAGTCAAAAAAATGGGATATAATACATGAAGAGTAAAAAAAGAAGAAGAAGAAAAAGAAAATACTAGGTGCTCTAAATGCCAGGGGTAAAAAGAGAACTAGGGGGTGGGTGTGATCAAGAAAGGCTTCACGGGGAAGGTGCTATTGGGGCTGAGCCTAATAGATGGGAGGAATTTGTACACGTGGTGATGGAAGAAAAGGTTCGCCAGATAAAGGGCACAGCATGACCAAAGGCATGGAGGGAAGAAGGCTGGAGAACAGAGGGAGTAAAGGAATCGTGGGAAATAAGCCTGAAAACTAGGTTAGGAGCCGAGAGAGGAGGCCCAAGAAGATAACACTCATCATTTTGCATTTATTTAGCAGGAAACAAAAGCATGTAAGGTCGAGCTTTTTAAACAAGGGTGTGATACAAGCAGAGTTGTGTTCGGAGATGAAAGGTCAGCTATCAAAGAAGGACATGGAGAGAGGATGGACTGGGGATGGCAACTCACAGGAATCTGTTCACTTGTGCATCCACGCAATGAATATTTATTGTGTGTCTACTGCAGTCCATGGGGTCGCAAAGAGTCAGACACGACTGAGCGACTGAACTGAACTGAATTGAACTACTATGTGCCAGACACTGTTTAGGCTTTGAGATACAAAAGAGGTGCAAACAAGATAAACAAGAGATTTCTGCCCTCGAAGAGTTTACATTCTGTTGGAAACAAAAACAGAAAACAAACAATAGGATAATAAATTAGTAAATTATAAGTTATGTTAGACGATAAAACCTATGGGGAAAAAGAAAAGGAAAGCAGAGTAAGAGAATGAGGACTGCTGGTGGGTGGGGAGGACACAGGATGTGATATCACATACAGCGGCCAGGGGAGACTTCACAGAGCAGAAGAGACGGGGGCTGAACTTGAAGAAGGTGAGGGTGAGAGCTGAGCAGATGTCTGGGGAGAGGACTTTGCAGGCAGAGGAAGCAGCCAGAGCACGGCCAGAGGTGGGGCGTGCCTGGTGTAAGAGTGAGTGGCAAACGATCGGGGTGCCTGGAGCCGAGTGAGCGTGGAAGAGGAAGCAGCAAGTCAGAGGGAGGGGAGAGGGCGTGACTTTTACTCGGGAGAACAGGGACCAGTGCAGGGCTCTGCACACAGGGAAGGGCCCCTGTCAGTCATCAGCAGGGGGCTACTCAGAAACCAACAGCAACGGTTCAGATGGGAGAGGTGAGAGCGTGGACAAGGGCAGCTGCAGGACGTATGGGGAGAAGAGCTCCCCTCTGGATTTGCGTTAAGGGAGCCGTGGACAGGATACCTGATGAACGGATACTGGGTGTGGGAGAAAGACAGGGGTCGAAGACGACTCTAAGGTGTGTCAGACAAATAAAGGTTTGCATCAATAAGGATCTTTACTAGGGCTGTAACTCTGAGAAGCCGTGCTGTGACGACCAAACAGAAGAGACTCGACCATCCAGCATTCTTGCCTGGAGAATTCTATGGACAGAGGNGTGTGGGAGAAAGACAGGGGTCGAAGACGACTCTAAGGTGTGTCAGACAAATAAAGGTTTGCATCAATAAGGATCTTTACTAGGGCTGTAACTCTGAGAAGCCGTGCTGTGACGACCAAACAGAAGAGACTCGACCATCCAGCATTCTTGCCTGGAGAATTCCATGGACAGAGGAGCCTGGTGATTAATTGCTGAGGCTCTAGATAGAACAGAGCCTGTTCTCTTTTGGGGCTTCCCAGGTGGCGCTAGTGGTAAAGAACCTGTCTGCCACTGCAGAAGACTTAAGACACGGATTTGATCCCTGAGGCTGGAAGATCCCCTGGAGAAGGAAATGGCAATTCACTCCAGTATTCTTGCCTGGAGAATCCCATGGACAGAGGAGCCTGGCAGGCCATAGACCATGGGGTCTGCAAAGATTCGGACACAGCTGAAACGACTTAGCACATATTTATCTGAAGGCAGGAATGGCAGAGAAGACCACGTACATGGACTCATTCAATGCCTTTATTGCGACCTGACTCTGCTGGACTCATGCAAGGCCCCAAGGGTTCAATGGTGAACACGACAGCCCCATCCCCAACTGGACAGATTCCCCATGCTGGCAGTGCTTACAAAGCAAACCAAACATGTAACTGGTAGTCATTTAATTACCATGCTAATAAATTAGTACATGAATATTAAATTGAATGCAAAATTAATAATAAAGATGTAATTTTATAGCCATATACGTGTACAACATAAAATATAAAATTTTAATGTAAAGTATAAACATGACTTAATTTTAATAATCTCATTATGCTTAATTATTAAAAACTGGTATTTCATATTTGTATTAATTAATATTATTCCAATGTGCCAACAGTGAAGACTCAAGAAACATAAAGAAGAACAGAGTGACCATTATAACGCTACATGGTGACCTGCCTGGTGACAGCCTTAGCCAGGCTGTGCACAGAGGGTGGTGGACACGTGAGGACAGGAACCACCAAACCCCCCTGGCAGGGGGCGGGTGNTGAGGACAGGAACCACCAAACCCCCCTGGCAGGGGGCGGGTGACCTCTAAACTGGCCTTGAAGGAGGAGTAGCAGGGCGGGGGAAGAACAAAGTGGCCAGTGAACTAGAGCGGGGGAGGATGGGGCGTGAGGCAGGGGTTGGGGGGGCACTCCCCGGGAGGCTGGCTCCTGTACAACCAAGCTTTCTGCTGCTGGCGCCCCGCCAGGGTGAAGACTCGGTCAGTCTTGCTCACTTCTGTGTCCCCAGGGCCTAGCACAGTGTCTGGCACACACAGGCTCCCAAAGTCCATTTTGAGTGGATGAACGGGGAGGCCAGCTTCCCAGCAATGGAGCCTCGGGGCAGTGGAGATGCAGTCCTGGCCCTGGAGAGGAGGCCCCAACTTGGGACTGCAGTTCTAGAGGCAGGGTGGTGATGCTCGGGGTCACCGCCTCCCCCACCAGCTACCCCACAAGCACAGAAATACCTGTATTTCCTGGATGTTCTCTTCCTCCCTGGCATCCACCTTCTTCTCCACTCCCTCACCGCGGAGCAAGGCTTCCAGGGTAGTGCTTTCTGAGGTGAACCCATCCTTCTTCAGGGGCAGCTCCACTTCTGAAAAACAGAGAAGCAGCGTCAGCCCACTCAGGACAGGAAGGACAGGAGCGACAGGAGCCGGGGGGCCCTTGAGGGCAAGCAGGAACCGCAGCATCTGAGAAGGACTTGAGACGGCCTGCATGCTCTCCTCCTGGCCGAACGCAAACACTGGAGTCAGGTCCGGCTTTTCCGTCTCCAGTTCCCAGTCTCCAAGCCAGAGCCCACCCCTGCCTGCTCCCTCAGAGACAGTGGAGGCTGGGTAGGAGGGACACCTGATGGACACAGGGTCAGACGGGCAGGGTCGCTCTCTTGCTTCCACCACTCTCCGACCGTGTGACTTTGGATGAAACATTCAAGGACCACCCCCCAGCCCTTCTTTGCACATCTACAAAGTGAGGGTGACAATGCCCATCCCCCCAACCAGGCCATTTTGTGGAGCATAAATGTGTTCCTTCACACTGAAGCACTTTGAAAACTCTAAAGCAGTGCACCAGTGTTGGCCTCAAGTCTTATTATCCTCTCCCTCCAGGCCAACTCTCATCTGTCAGCTCCATGACCTCCTCGCGGCCATGCTGGCTGCCCAGCTCCAGTCTGCTCTGTGAAAAGCTATTTCAACCTCAGAGAGGCTGTTCTAATCAACTCACCGGGGAAGTAAAGGCCTCTGAAGCCCAGGGAAGAAACAGAATGAAGGAGCGGATGCCTAACAGGCCGCCAATCAGCAGCCAGGAGCTGCAGTGCCCACACGTTGGAACGTGTGTTCTGAAGACATCAGAGTTCGATTGGTTTCCCGGGGCTGGAGGTCATGGGGCCACCTGAGCAGTGGCAACCAGAGCCGACCCTGCCCATGAGAGAAACCAGAGAGAGACACTGAACCCCCTTTCTCGAGAAGTCCTCCCGTCTCCTACCCAGAGGATGGGTGGAGGTCTTTTGGTCAGTTTGTTGTTGTTGTTGTTTCATTAAAAACAGAAACCTCAGGAACAGGTGATCGCACTCAGACTGACTACAAAAGATCCCTCCAACTCTCTCTTTGGACCCTGTACCTCATACCCCGGACCCTGCAATTAGATGCATGGTCCCAACCCTCTCTCAGGAGAGATGGGGCAAGACCACAGGGTGAGGTGCCCCAGCAAATGGTCAGGGGAACCAATGGCCCATCTGTATGGAGACCAGTGTGGGGACTATTCACAGAAGAGCGGACAGGAACGAGGAGACAAGGAATGGGGAAGCACCCAGGGGAGTTAATGGTAGGGAGTTATGAGCATTGCTGTTCCTGGAGGGACAGAGAGAGCATATTTGCAAGACCTGGACAGAGCCTGCGCAAGCTCTCGTGTAGGAGTTCTGTGAGCCCGTGGGCCAGAGAACACAGGCACACACACCCAACCTCTGTCTCCTTCCCTCGTCTTCCTGCTCTGTCCTCCCATTGGCCAACCTCAACCGGAAGCCAGAGGACAAGGGAACCTCACTGATAAAGCCACTGAGGTCAACTTCCGGGGGCACAGGGCGGTGCGAAGAACAACAAAAAGCAGATCTGGGGGAGCAAATGGAAATAACCAGGACAACCAAGCCATGTTCCACTGGGCTTTGTATGGGTGTACTAAGTTGCTCAGCCACATCCAACTCTCTGTGAGCCCGATGAACTGTAGCCTGCCAGGACCCTCTGTCCGTGGGAATTCTCCAGCAAGAATACTGGAGTGGGTTGCCATGCCCTCCTCCAGAGGATCTTCCCGACCCAGGTCTCCCAAACAGCAGGCAGATTCTTTACCATCTGAGCCACCAGGGAAGCCCTTGGGCTTTATTTTCCCTCAAATGAAACTCCACCTACCCCTTCTGTCTCCTCCACTAGAACCAGATGCAGGCCGATCAGCCCACAAGAAAGGGCGCTCGAGCAGCCGACCAAAACTGAAGAAACTCACACGCACGTGTGACCAGACCCCAGGAGATGATGATGGGAAAGAGAAACAGTATATCAGATAATATACTTAAATATATAATATTATATAATATTCTTGAAAGGTAAGGTCTTTGGCATTTTTCTTACCAAAAAAGGCAAGCAGAGGGTTCACTTCTATCAAGAAGCACTACCGCCAAGCCAACCACCCCTGAAACTCATTCACCCATCTATTCATTCTGCAAATATTTACTGAGCACCTGCTATGTGACAATCACTCCAGGTTCACAGGAGATGAACCAAATAATGACCAATCCAGCTTTTACATGGTTTACAATCTAAAAGGACAGACATTAAGCGCTAAGTACAAAATAAACATGCAAAGGGTGATGAGTGCTATGGAGGAAAACAACAGGGTGAAATATGAAGGAAGAGTATGGTGCTGGGGGCGGTGTGGGGTTGGGTATCTATTTAAGATCAAGGCTTCAGGGAAGGCCTGTGTGATGAAGTTACGTCTCAGTGTCAGAAAAATAGCCAACCGTCTGCCTTGATGAGTTCAAAGTGTGCAGCTCTAGAGTCTGCTCCAATGACACATTAGTCTTTCTCACAAGTCAGGAAAGGCTTCCAAACGTCTAATCTCAAACAATTAAAATGTGTTGCCTCATGCCCTGTCCTCAGCCAAAAGAGAACAGCTGTTCACCATCCTTCAAACTTATAAGAATCATATATACATTTATATATATATATGAAGTTCATATTTTAGTATCCCCCTCAGCCTTCTCAACACTAAATAAATTCTATTTCCAGAACTGCACAGTATTTTACAGTTGAGAAGTCCTTACAGATCATCTGCTTTAATTATCTCATTTTATAAACGAGTCACCCGAGGCTCAGAAAAGTTAAGTAACTTCACCGGGAGCCACTCAGCAGGACAAGAATGCAGCCAAAGGATCTTTCCTAGACACAGTAAAAATGGTGATGAGAGCCCCACTCATTGTATTAGTAGATTGCAGGCTCAGCCCCAACGAGCACTGATGTGTTTATGTACAAGCAGAATCCCTGGTGGTGGTGGTTTAGTCGCTCAGTCGTGTCCACTCTTGTGACCCCATGGACTGCAGCCTGCCAGGCTCCTCTGTCCATGGGATTCTCCAGGCAAGAGTACTGGAGTGGGTTGCCATTTCCTTCTCCAGGGGATCCTCCTGACCCAGGGATTGAACCCGGGGCTCCTGCATTGCAGGCAGACTCTTTACCGACTGAACTACAAGGGAAGATAAAAACACAATCTACATGTGGTAAAATGCCTGGTAGGTAGTAAACACTCACTGTGTCAGCTGTTACTGCCGTGTATCACTTAATCCCCACCACCACCCAAGAGGTGAGTACAGTTATCATCCCATTTCAAGATAAGGATGCTGCAGCTTAGGGAGACTTAGAACTTGCCTAGTATCAGAAAGCTGGTCAGGGGCCAAATCCCACTTTAACCCCAGTCTGCCTCAGAACCCATTCACCTAATTGCTAGTCTGTATGAACTTCACCTTGCCTCGATTTGGTCCTTCCATGAAAAGTCTTTTTCCAAACCTTTGTGCATGTTCACTGCATCCCTAGACCCTCTCCACAGTTTTCGCATTTCAAGATAAAAGGCAGACCTTTGCTGAGGCCGAGGGCAGGTCTGTGTCAAGGTCTTAGACTGTGTTCTATGTGAACATCTCTGTGGGGTATTCACCCAGCACAACAGTACTGAACTCATAGAGAATTTTCCGTCACTGGTAGACTTTCGCTTCCTCCTCCCCCTGCTCCTTCTTCCTCCCCTGCTAACTATTCCTCCATCCTGCTTTCTGATCATTCAATCCACCTTCTTGGTCCTCTGGTCCTGGCCCTCTGAGATGGGCGCAAGGTCAGAAGCAAGAGGGAGAAGAGAAGCAAAATGGGAAGAGTTGAATGGGCTCTCCTACATTTGAAGAGCTAGAAAAGCTCCCCAACAGCATCCAGAGTCCAATCACTTCATGAGAAATGTGAGGCCCAGAAAGACAGAGACCTTTCCAGGGTCACAGAGAAAGTTTCCAAAGTATTTAATCGGCTCATAGATGTTCTGCTTTCAGAAATCCCTGAAGTCAATCCCTGGCTTTGCCATGTTTTAGCCAAAGGACCACAAGCTGGTTACTTCAACCTCTAAGTCTCTGTTTCCTTATATGTTAAATGGAAATTATCACAGTATCTATTTCATAGTGTTAGCACGAGAATTAAATGTGGTAATATATCCCATAAACAAACTCTGAAAAGATCCCCACAAAAACTAGTAAGGGAAACAGTGAGGAAAAGAGGCTATCAATTTTTTCTTCACCCTTTTCCTATTTAAAACTTAAGATTCCAGAGACACAGATGTATTGAACACTCTTTTGGCTCTGTGGGAGAGAGCGAGGATGGGATGATATGGGAGAATGGCATTGAAACAAGTAAATTATCATATGTGAAACGAATCGCCAGTCCAGGTTCAATGTATGAGATGGTTGCTCAGGGCTGGTGCACTGGGATGACCCAGAAGGATGGGTTGGGGAGGGAGGTGGGAACGGGGTTCAGGATGGGGGACACATGCACACCCATGGTGGATTCATGTCAATGTATGGCAAAACCAATACAATATTGTAAAGTAAAATAATAAATAAATTAAATAATAATAATAATAATGCAGGCTCAAAATCAAAAAATAAAAACAACTTAAGATACAAAATTAGATCATATATGTAAAGAGCCTGGGGTGTTCTAAGCATCTTATAAATGCTATATGTTATTATCGTTGAAGTTTGAATGATTCTGACTTAATGGCACAGCAACACAGTCAAACAGAAATATAATGCAAGCCATTCATGTAATTCTAAATTTTCTAGTAGCCACATTTATAAAAGCAAAGAGCAACAGGTACAATTAGTCTTGACATCCATTTTATCTAACCCAATATATTCAAAACATTATCACTTCAACATGTAATCCATATTTTTAAATTACCGTGATAGTTTACATTATTTCATTCACATTAAATCTTGGATATCTAGTGTGCATTTTACAGTTTCAGCACAACTCAATACAGATTGGCCACATTTCAAGGGTCCCATGGCCACACGGGACTGGTGGT